GTCCTACATCAACAGAAATCAGTATAGTGAAATTAAATGCTAATGGTGAAAGACATTCGCTGCCTCAATGGTTCCTGTCTGGTTATATCATGTTCTTTCAGCTACACATCAAACCCACATAGAGTTGTGTGGTATCAGTGGGTCTCTAAAGGTTATCCTTTAGGTTACGATCCATGGTATCCTAATTATGTCATTGAGAAATTTAGAGGAAATACATATTTATATAGTGACCCATCAGGCAGGGACTGTAGTTTGTTGATCAAAAACCTGGAACAGTCTCACCATGAAGAGAAAATATACACATGGATTGACCTTGAAAATGTTGGATGGTGCACCTAAACATTTTTTGAAGTCACCTCTACAATTCTAGTTGATGGTAATTAAATAATTTGTTCAATACATTTGCTAGACTCCTTATCTAGTTATGAGAGTGTGTTGCCTAATTGTACATTTCTGCTGTTTGTAGAAGCTCCACAGGAGCACAACATCAGTATTTATGGAGGTGAAATACTGATGACACGATCACAGTAGAATTTTCAGCTTTTCACACGTGTCCATACAGCAAACCAAACATCCCTCTGAATGGTAGAAGGATCTGATGAAATAAACGATGAGTCTATTAAAGACGGCCTGTGGAAAATCACTCTGCACGCACAAGTATCTTAAAGACAGAAAACCCAACTATTGAGTGTTCAGTAACACATTACGGTGGCATAACAGTGACTGTAAATGGAAAGAATTTGACATGCACTTCAAAATTGTCTAGAGGAAACGCTGAAACCTGTGTTGTTTTACATGTAGGCTATACAACATGAGTAATTTGTTAGCGCCATGTATGATGTCTCAAAATTGGCCCTTTGTAATGTCTGCATACTAAATTATGGTTGATCTTCTTTCTTGCATTTGTTTGTGAGAATGAGATCAGCTTGTGCATTTTTTAATATGATTGGTCAAACTGTACTTTAGAAACTACTTCATTATGTGTTCATGATTTACAAGAGACAACACAGGCATCTGTTTGTATGGCTTATTCTCATCTTTCAGAATATCTGTATTTAGATTTGAGGTCTGTATCTCAAACTGGAAACTGAACATAAAGTGAGATCCTTAAGGCATTGAAACCAAATGTTGTGTATGTCATCACCATCCTAAGAGTACCTGAGCAGCATGTGGACAGTGCCAATTAGTGGTCAAAAAGCTTAAAAAGTTAACTTTTTGAAAAAAAGAAAGAGAGAAAAGATTTTGGTCTGTTTAATGACAAACGTATGTCCTTGGATTCATGGACATACCAAGTAAATCCCTGTCTACATTGCATTACTATAATACTGAGACCCGTCATATTTGTAAAAAGAAATAACTCCTACAATGTTGTCAGCTTTAGACATGTAACATCCAAAGTG